AGAAGCTGCTGAAAAATAGTATTTATTTAATGGAAATATATAAAACAGCAGGGCAGCTGCCACCGACAATCCAATTTGTCATTCAAGAAGATATTCACTCCTGTCATCTAACATGAAGTACAGAAAAGTCAGGCAATTAAGGAAGATGAGTAAGTTAGCATATTTTGTAAGTAAAGAGACTCACTCAATGAATGTACTGGCTTCAGCGTCGTCCCTTAACCTAAAAATAATAAGGGATACTGATTAAATATAAACGAACACGCGGCATAAACGTAGGCTGAAGGGATTCTCAGAAAATAGTCATCAGCAATCAGGTGACGAAAAATGGTCATCAGCGAATAACAGAAAGGTACAGACACACGAACCTACCCTGAAGTTGGGGAATGAGGTTTCAGAGGCCGAAGTTGACGTCTGGAATTAGTGAAGGCGCGCCAGCCAGAAAACTCTGAAAAAGCAGTAGGCCTTAGAATTGCATTCGGAATAGATATGCGAGCCGAAGGAAAAACGGTCAGGCAAATCACTCCACATAAGATTAGGAGACGAAAAAAGTCATCGCGGAGAGGAAGTAGAAGCAAGACGGATACTGACCTGTGAGAGAGTTCAAGTGAACGACTGAGGTGACAGCTAAAACAAATACGGTAGAGATAACATAAATTCAAAAAAACAAAATTCAAATAAGTGTCATTATATAGTTACTAAATTTGTTTTATGAAAATAGGCTTTGAAATTAATTTAAGGTTTAAATAATATTATCAGAACTTATTGGGGCACAGATACATACCTCATTATTGAGTAAAGACCATAAGAAGTGAATCTTTTATGGTTATGCCAGGTGGATAGGTTGCTTCCTGGAAGAAAATTAGTTATAAAATAAATGCAATTTTTCTAATTGCGTTAATGAGGATTTACTAAATGGGAATAAGTATTATCAAACTTTCGTATTCAATTTTAATACTTGTTGTTAATAGTATCAGTTCCCTGAGCATATTTAAATTGAACTCGCCTCAAACTTTTGCTTTCAAAGCAACCCAATGTCTTTCCTTATAGTGGCCACTTTATTATCCTTTGTATGAGCATCGCAAATCTAGAACTATGTGAAATTGCGAAATATCAAAGTCCCTTTATATTCCAAGGCCCATATTTGTTTATGACGTATTCACTCTGATCAAGGCGATGAAAGCTTGTTGGATTTACCTACCCTCATTAGCAGGCCCCAAGTTTATATTGACTTTCACACAACTTTGCTTCCAAAAAGGCAATTTCATCAATTGTGGACTACGCTTATGACCTGGCCTAGGTTTGGCAAGCACCAGGATGATGCAGCAAGTAGTCTTGACACAACAACAACTAATCCAGCTAGTAACGAGGGGTAGTCGATCAAAGGGTAGGATTGAACTTGAAGGGTGCTAGACCTTTCATTATCATAAATTAAATAAAGAGACTACATACCCTATATGTGATTTTCTGGTATTCTCCAAGCCTGC